CCATACCTGAAATCGACTGCATAAGCTGTCGCATGCGCTGATACCTATCCATCAGCTAAAACTGAGAGCAGCCCAACACATACCTTACAACGCTTCATACTTGGCCAGTAAAATTTTTATCTGAGAAGGCCGGACGTTTTGGTAACATTTGTATCTCCTAGCTGATGAAAATCTTGCAGCATCTCTTGTGGCAAGTAGTGAGGTGTCACTGTCAACTAACTACCATCACTCCTTCACCCAACCAAAGTTTCAAATTCACTAAGTCTTAGTCGATCTTGCTATCTGAATAAGATGGTCAGCTTCCCATTCACCACAGATTAATTTATTTCCGTTTGATTAGTAATCACTTGTATTACTTACTATATTCACTGTAAGGTACAACTTTTGTTAATGGATAAGTCTTAGTGGATCTTGTTCCAGCGCATGTTCTTCTTGCGCAACCTCAAGCATTTCAGCTTCATTTAGTAATCTAGATATAATGTCATCCAATAAATTTTCCATCTCTGAGGAGTGGGCTATCGTGTATGTTAACTATTATCAGCATAAAATCCACAGCGACAATTCCCATAACAGGTCTGTCAGTGTCATCAGCAGTTGTAGAGGCTTATAGTCATTTTTAATATGGAACTGTTGAGCAAGTAGATAAGATAACCGTTTATCTAACGCCCACACTATTCACAAACATTCTGTCTCGACAGCTGACTACTTTTACCCCACAATGTTGGAACACTCATGGAATACTCGGCAGATCTTTATCTCTGACTTACTACTGCACCTTATCTATAATCACTAGCATCGAGAAACACCGTGAACTATTTACAAGACACAGGTAGTTTTAACTTCTGAAAACTTTTCATAACAGTCACGTATCGTCTGTGGGTCCGCCGACCAAACAAACTTTGTCTCGTCTAGTAGTCGGCACTGTGGAGCTGCCATCTTATCAAAGTTTTTCGTAAACCATCCACTAAACGTCGCTCTCCTTAAGAAGTGTCACGGTCCTATTTTTGAATTCAAGGCTGCAATCGACCTCATCGTCAATTTTCAGTTAGACATTTTATCAAACCGTTTCCCACTTTAAGTCTCAAGAGAGCAACATCCCTTCCAGCTGTCTGAGACTTCTTGCCGATATGTAAACAGAATTCTTCAATACGTCCCAAACCGGGTTCTGTGTGTTTCACATAGTCCTCTTCTGTCTGACTATATGTGACTGGGACGTCGCCATATACTTCCACTTACTTCAGTTTGCTAAGTAGCAACATTTTTCAACTGAATGAATGAACCTGATGATGAATTTATTGAAAAGAGTACTCTTTGTTCCGTGTCCATTCTCTTGAAAACTGAATGAATGACAATATGAATGGCATACGTTCAAAATGACGTTATTTATGGCCTGCGCTGAACACAATTTATTACCTCCGCGGTATTGTTTCTTTCGTATCTACCAATAATAATTGGAGTTTGTCAATATTGATGAACACATATTGATTGTCCTGTGGCTGTGATTATTTTAACTGGTGTGTGATTGATTTCGTTATATTGGATTGTTAGTGGCTCAGCAGCAGAATTTCGGCGTTCTGGTTTGTGTTTCATTATCAGTCGTGTGGAAGTTTAGCCAGTTATTAAGTACCTAACTAGTGTTCTGAGCTCTGGATATTTACCTTCTGAGAACAGAAATAATTCTCAACGGCGTTACTGAAAGCTTCTGAACCTCTGAAATAACAGAATTCTAGAATCATATGTAGATTTGCATGCTGGAAGTGTTCGAAGATTTCTCCTACAGTTTGACTATATTATGGCATTAGTTCTACTAAAATATTCTACTATCAGCAGAAACACTTTGAATTTCTTCACCAACAGTACTAGGGATTTGTACAAACAGTTGGCCTTTTAGATCACCCCTAAATTAATATTTTCCGAGTTCATCTGTTTACTTCTCCCTCTAAATACACTGGTGCTCGTCGTGTTATAAACGTTGCATTCCCGATTCCTCATATCAGTTACTGCAACTAATTCTCTCGAGGAGTCTGCACACTATATTGTTCGATGTATATCTAATGTCTTATCTTGCAGGTGCCTTGGCATTTATTGATCACAAGTATCATCATAGGTCTCGTCAACCCCTTGTGATTTTCACCTGGTGATCCATGACTATAGGCGAGGCTACATTCAGCAAATAAATATCGTGAGAGATAGGTTTAGGGACGCATTCCGAATACTGGGGAGCTAGCTGCTGAGTTTCGCAATATTCACCGAGGATTAGTAGGGCACGTCAAAGAAGATTTGTTGGAGTAACTGCCAAAACCAGTGGATCTCCATCTGGACCAAAGAGTAGCCTTCTAAATCTCTACAATGCCATCTGTCTGCACGCCACACCGTCAGTCTTTGGAAAAAACTGCCAGATGACCTCCGCCGTAGTGTCAGCTTCACACGAACTAACGTATGCACCTCTCACAGCAGCGTTCCTGGTACCACTTTCATTGTCGTTGGATAATGGGCGTCCGCTTGCCTATCAGTGCCTTCTGAAGTAAGCAAATGGCCCCAAATGTTTCCCTATACGGAAGCTGTAGACACGGACATTATATTTGATACCAGAACCCGGCTGCATTTGGTAGCAAGTTATTTAGATGACGAAATGATGTGAAGTTTTGGAGAACTTCACAAACCTTACATTCAAATATTCATTTCTACATGTTCTGTAGTCTGAATTCCTTTTATGCTTTCTACCCTGGTCCACAGGAGCATTTTAACTCTCTAATCTGGAATTTAAGATGTCTCTCTACTATTTAATATTCTTTCAGAATTCACTACATAATGTCCCTATGGGAAATCTTATCAGTAGTACACGCCAAAATATTACATGTGTTGGTGTTGAGGACAGTTGTAAGTGATTTCGAAGGGAATTACTTGAAAAAATGATGCTTTTATTGGGGCCCAGAATGACTCTACTTTAGGAAGATCCTGCATCAAAAATTTGTTGTCGACCCTAGGGTGAATGGACATCATCTGAGGCACTGTTGTTGCATTCCCTGTTTTATGAATCGATTTCTATAAATAGTTCGAGGACGTTTAATGTGATACGGGACTCCACATTTAGGTCTAAGCTGGTATCTGTGATTCATTTATTTCCGCATCTGACAGGTCAACCTGATCGTAGGAAACTCTCCATGAAAACCTGCTACGACCTCCTCATCCTTGTGTAGACTGTCATCTGATTCTTATTCTATTCTTTCATACCCGGATGCATGATTAAAGTCAAAACAGAGACGGAAACTAACCTTTCAACTCAACCTACCTTCAGCTAAACTAGAGATACACTACCGTCACAGAAGATATCATATACGTGGGAAATATGTATACTGAATACGGATTGGATATCGGAAATCACTGGTCCCATATTCATGGTTGTACTTAGGTTCATCACATGTGTCCAAGCAACGAGAATCAGAATCCTTCAGGCACTAGATTTTACGTGACTTCTATGGGTGCAACTGATCTTATACACCTGGGATTTTTGAAGAACTAAGAAAGAAGTTGGTTTATGCAGTGTCCTAATGAATGTATTCACTATTGTGCTTCCTGACGGCTGTGCAGATTCTACAGATTACTTAAGATCGTAAGATAAGCTGTAAGACTAGGATACAATCTTGCCATAGATGAATCGTTGGAGGGTGCTCTGGAAGATTGTTCCACTTGTTCCTAATTCGATGAAGTAAATAACTTGGCAGATGTCAGAGGGTGTAGTACACTTACACGTGGTCTGTTCTAGAAGAGAGAAGAATAGGTAAAACGAATTCGCAACCAAATCACGATGGAAGATACGAAATATCAAAGTGAAGTCATAACTCAGCTAGCGATATGACATTTGAACCAGATGTGGGCGATCCGACTAATCTTGACATGATAAGCTTTTCAGTCTCTTGGTCAATTTAACTTACATTATTTGAACTGTTTCTAAGATATGTGCTTCATACATGAAAACTAATATCGCTGACTGATTCTCGACTTCTAAATGATGTCTGACACAGGTTAGCGATAACACTCTAAATATGTGAACAAAAAATCTCACACGATCCTGGGAAGAAGCCGCTTATCACGTTCATAAATGTATACTCTCGGTAACTATTGGTTGGGTGAATCCATTTAGGGGGTACCCTTACAGATTTCTGAGTGACAGGCATCACTAAACACTTGCTTACATTATTTACGAAGACCTATGCCTATATGATACAAATTAAAATATCTCAGTCTTCTTCAACAGTAAGACAAATTCCGCTATTGTGTAAAGCTGTCCAGAGGTTAATATCAAAGAACGGTGAGACTCAAGTAAAAACGGCATCTCATCTGCATGTGATGGTGAAGAGAGAGTGCTTAGAAGTCAACTTTGAGGAGCGACAATCTTGACTGATTTCTAAGACAACAACACTCTAACTGTTTGTCTTCAATTCTCAGAGAATTTCCTAAAAAAGACATTTAATGGGACATTAATTCCTAAGATATATTTTGAAGACTGGTTACGAAAACTGAACTAGATCTTTATCAGTTCTGGTAACAAATTTCAGTTCACTTGAACTGGAGTAATGCTTTTACCAAGTCTAAGGTTTTGGGATTGTTTATGTCATATTATGTTATGTATCGTCAGTAGACAAGTAAGAGTTAACTTTGCACTCAGAAGCCTAAGCATGTTTCAGAATCCTCGTGGTGCCTACATATACATATGTATACGTATATATATATGAGTTTGAAATGAAGCCCAAATGCTGTCTATGTCATAAGTTGGCACTCTGTCAATCATACAAACGTCGTCTCTCCAGGATAGACACAGAATTAATAATCAGTACTCCAGAATAGGCATATAAGTGAAATATTACTGAAACTGTTATGTAATTCGGTAGAATTGAAACAAATATGAATTCGATCTGCTTGTGTTTTTCTGTACTGTTTGCCAAGGACTCGACGCGGTGGCGTTTCAGATCATTATTTTCAGGAAATGAATAATATTGATGCTTGATAGCCCTACTACATCCAAAAAATCAGGAGATATATGGAAGAATGATACGAATTTAGAAAGTTTCATTACCTGCGGCTATTCTTTGAACCTTAAAACAGGTACATTGACTTGAGCATCTTAATGACGTATATTTTAAGACTTTTCTAACTGCAGATTGAGGGAATTTTCCACCTCTCTTGAAGCCCTTAAGTTTACTGAAAGTCTTAATTTATCGAGGAATCAAATTACCAATCTTCCTAGTCGAGTGAAAGAATATAGGTTGCTCACAAGTTTGAACCTAAGGTATATTTTCCAGTTTGTCTCATTCTATTTATATAGCTTCAACAAAATATTTTCACTTCCAAGTTGCATATGTGAGCTCTCAAGCCTTCGGACTTTATTGATTTCTAACAACTTTCTGTCATCTTTGCCGTCGGATGTTTGCAAACTCAATTACCTTCAAGAAATAGTAATTCAACATTCGATAAATAATAGTGCTTTAGGATCTTTCATTTAACAGAATTACAGATTTTCCTGCTTCTCTGTCTTCGCTGTCAAGTTTGAAGGTTTTAATCCTCTGCAATAACTTGATAACTGATCTACCAGAAGGTAATTATTCTCAAGATTTTTGTTTGTTATTTTATCAGGGTTTTAACACAGTTCTATATTTCCTGCAATAATTGAGCTATATTAGTTAAGATTCATTCTTTGAAAGATACAGTAATGTTTGGCTTCTGTTTGAAAGAAATTTTAACCTAACATTCATATTCTTGTAACAAGTTTGTCTGATCCAAACTAACTTATTTACTCTCAATTCCAATCTTTCACAAGTCACCGAATATTTTCAGTAGCTGAGGTAGTCTTCGGGGACGTTATAAATTGTATTAAGTTTAAAGGGGCAACGGGGAAGTGGTTTGTGGTGTACTTTGGGACCACTGATCCAATATCTGATATTTAAATGACCAGCTTGTATAGACCTGTTCATTTGTTGTCACTCTCTTCTTAATACTTGAGGATGTTTTTAGATCTCTATTACGGGAGATATGTTCCAGCAGTTGCACTTGGTCCATTCAGCAGAGTAACAGAAGAGATGTCAGTTATTTTAGAGAATATGCGCTTTGTAGCAGGTCACACTATTGCTAAAAGGGCTTGGAATTGTCGTTTTGTGAGATATACTGTAGATAAGTAAATAACTTTTCAGAGACCATGGCATTAAAGCATTGGAATGGTGGTCAAGAGAATGTATAAGTAAGGATAGAAGGTGGAGGAAGAGGAATGTATACAAGACAGCTAAGATGAAGGGAAAGGAACACACGAGAAACCCAGATGGGAGGACAATATACAAACCGAAAAATTATATAGAGAAGGAAACTAAATAAATTGCAGGATATTTTTAGTAACGGTAAAGGGATGCGAAACTAGTCTTTTCCCTTTAAATTTGCATGGGCCTTGTATCTTTTCATGGTTTTCTAACCCTCGCCTAAAGCTATGAACTGTCGTAGGGTCAGCGGCTTCTCTAGCCATCAGATTACTCATTAATTCATTTAGTGACTGTCTTCACAGTTTGTCCAATGCTTGGTCACACTTTTTACTTGCCAGTCTTCTCGTTATTATATCTTATTAATACGGGACAACTTCAGAGTATTTACACAGCCTCAAGGGTTACTTGGGTTTCCCGAGAAAAACAGGTATCAAGCATTTAAAATCGTTATAAACACTTATGTTGTCGAGACGGACTGAGTTGAAAAACTGAATTTCTGGTGAATGTTTATGATATTGATCCACGATTTAAAAGTTAATTGTAGGCATGAGAATGAATTCAGTAAGTGTATAGCAGAGAAAGTAAGCAGGAAATAGGGGCCTTGTGAAGTCATCACGAATGAGGGGACTTATTTGGAAGACAAATGTTCTATCAAATCACATATCTTCTGTTTTGTGTGAAGGTTTTACCTTCATGCATAGATTGGTATGATTTATATTGTCTAGAGGACATGAAGTCTAACTGGCATTCAGTCCGTTTTGTGCTCTCTCCCTCTCGTATGAAACGTGCTTTTCAATAAGATCTAATCGATCGTAACTATGGGTAACACAATATTTAAATTTCTTCCTCAGCAAGTCACTGTTTTATGCCATGGGATCGTTATGAAGTCATATGTTGATGAGTCAAGTGTACTGTGTTCCTCATGAATATTGATTCGTTATCTCTGAGGTATTGCGCCTTCTCATCATTAATTCGATATTTAAATTAGGCAGGTCAGAGTTGTGAAACACACTAAAATAATCATTATAAATGATCTCAGTGCAGAACCAACCATCGTAACTGAAAATTTACCTGACTTTTAAGAAATCTGCTCTTCTTGATAGTCTTCCCACTTGTAGATGTAGTGGTTAAAAACTTCTCATGAACAATTGCTCCAAAAGTTTTCATTATTCAGTTCTTTTTTGAAAGGAAGATACCAGTAGTTTGTTTAAAAGGCTACTCCGACGCAGTTGGAAATCGATATTTGAAATTTTACACAGATTAAATGCAAATAACTCAGTATAAAGGTCTATGAGTGCAGTCAAATATATGATATTTTCTTGAGAAAATAGTTCATAAATGATTCAATCTACAGTACTAAGTCTATGAAAGTGTAGTTTCACCTCGTAGTTGGTTCACATGGGACCAACAGAGTAAGTGGTGTGGTCAAATGCGAAGAAGTTAACTTACTCAGGCTTGTCTTTGTTTAAGAAAGACCTATTGAGATGCTAAGTGAATTCTGATGCTGTCTGCCTGTGATTTCACTTTAGTTACGACATGATTGGATAGCAGCAATTGTAAAATATACTAATCTCTTGTTTTCTTTTGAGAAATAAAAATTCGTGACTTGAAAACATACCAAAAGACGGAAAGGGACAGACAGTTAATAACTAAATTCGTTAGGTATCGCCTCAAACATAAGTTTGAAGAACAACAAGAACTTATTAATCGCGAAATTGGATAAGGGAAATACGAAAGTAGTTATGGAACACCAGAAAGTTGAAACACAAGCAGTTGTGGGATATTTTCAGATGATCAATAAGTATAAGTGCTTTCATGTAGTTTGACCTTTCACTGAACACGCGAGCATAAGATTTTTGATGGTTTCTTTCTGTGTGTGAACCCAGATTTAGTTGCTTAGTGCTTCAGTTCAATGTGTTTTGTTTATGAGGCTTAGAACTTAACAAGCAGGTCAACTATTACCGGTAAAAATCTGTTTACATTAATCAGCCTTGTGGATTCGAAATAATAATCCAAATATGTTTGTGGAGAGGTTGTTGACTCTTACACTAAATGACCCAGGTTTAAGGCTTCAGGACGATATGAATCACTTCAGGGTTGCAGATGTTCAATGTTGCTGCATAACGATAAGCAGAAACCAAGATTCCAATTATCCAGCTGACTGCTTTTGACTTACTTCTAATAATTGGATATAAATGGAATAGAATGTATTAAAAGGTATTACCGCCTTTTTTAGTGACCACACTGTATATTTGATCGGTAATTTTCGGTGAACACACCTCGAAATAGAGAGAGGAGTTTGTTCTCATTTGACCAAGAGATCTTGTTTGTGTGTTTGCTCACATAAAAAACATTTATATTAGTCGTATTCTGTGCAGAATAAAATATTCATGCAGTTTATGTTCGTACGTAGTAGCCTGATAACTTGTCTTATGCCTTTTATTGTATTTTGATATGATTAATTGGAAATAAGGTGATATGATGTGATCTTGTGACAGTTGTCATCAGGAGGGTTCCGCTGACTAATCTAAATGAGGTATATTAAGTCTCCTTACTTCCAAGCTATATGATAACCGAAATAACTTAAAAGATTGTATTTTTGTCTTGTTATCATTTGTCAGACTAAATGAAACCAATCATATATATATATATATATATATATATATAAATGATGTATCTCGACATAATATAATATGCAATGTAGCCGTTAGTGCGGATAAAGCAATGCAAGGATGACTTTCTGTTACATATACTATAAAATTTTGAAGCTTAAGTCTCTATGGTTCAGTCAAGTGCGTGTGTAATACACTACTAGTGCGATTTAATCAGTTAGGAAAACTGTTATTTGTATTCATAACATCTGTCAGAATATGGGGGTGCATTTTTATTATTCTGTAAGTTTGGGTATGGTTCATTGAACTAATTAGTCAGGCGATCGTTTATTTATCAATTTGCTGTAACTTAAAGAGTCTATAAAATGAGTAAGACTAACTGCTGGATACATAAATCTGAATAAGATTATTTACTGTATTATGGATAAGAACTAATAATGCTTGGACTTCCCTGCTAATCAGATTTACAGACCACGTTCAAACAAACCAGATAACACTTTAGTTTTGGTTCCTTTGACTAGTTCTTCATCAGTTTATGAGCTTCATTATTTGATTAGTGAACAAAAGTCGTAACACATGCTTTGCTGATAGAGTTACTTTCTAAAATACAGGTGGTTTTGAACATTTTCTATAGACTGAGTTTTGGAAATCTGCATTTAAATTTAAGTTTATTCAATCTCTACTGATTCAGACTGTTTAATTAATACTATTATTATTTTAAATATTTTTCCACTCTTAGAAATAAGTGATTTCCGTCATTTGAAGATTTTAGATCTCCGTTCAAATAAATTAAAACGTTTACCATTAAATCTGAGACTTATGTGGTGCTTAGAAAGATTATCTTTGGAAGAGAACCCTCTTTCTTCCCCTCCAATCACGGTGAGTAATAAACGCATTCAGTTCTTGAAAAGTATTTCCCTTTATGATAAATCAATATAGTTTTTAGCATACACATGCGGGAAGAAGCCCTAACTTTTTGGTTCTTCTTAAATCTCGTTATATAAAACAGTTGTCTAACATAGTGATAATGAAATAAATGAAAACGATGACAGCCGATCATTACTTCTTTTAATAAATTTGGTTAGTGTTATTAGAAGACGGAGATTATTTGAAAAATATGATGTATTTTCACAATACATTCCAAACAATCCGGTCACTTATTTACTCAGTCAAATTACTGATGTAAGTGCCTTTTTCAAATAATACAGCAACGTTACATACTGCCAGGTTGATGGAGTTGCCGTGAACAGGTCATTAAGCCCCATCATAGCGAATATTTTTATAGATTATCTTCGGTAGAAAATCTTGAAACACGCGATAGATTGTGTGACTGTTTACAAAAGTTTGTAGGAGGACAGATTTATTGTACGCAATAATATTTAACATGTCACCCATTTACTTGACATATTTAATAAGTCACATATGAATACAGATTTCGCTATGGCATATGAACAAAACGGAAAGTTTCATTTTCTGTATCTCAGACTTTATTTGAACTACGAATGGAAATACACAATCTGAAGTGTTGTTATTCGATGGTTGGAGGCGATCAGCAGGAAGCCTTGGAACTAGATTTTGTGCTTGTTGGCTCTGAGGCAAAACAGCTCATTGGCGACGTCTCTAAAATGCAGCACTGGGTGACTCGAGTTTGAATCTCAGAGAGGAGATGAGTTCCTTCAAGATTGTAGATACGCCTTGCAGCCTGGTGAGTGCCAATAGGCAAGAAACCCAGGTCCAAGGCGTTCTGACGACTGCCTCTAACTACCTAATAAAAACAGCTCAGTGTGCACGATGATGGCGAGCCACCTAGCATGCTAGCGAACTTGACTGATAGTATTCAGTCTGTAACAAACAAAAAACTAGATGTGGGACACTAGTTGTTTACTACCAATTGTCGAATCAAAGAAAGTATGCAACGATAAATTCGTCACAAAATGTTTAAAAAAGATACCTCTCTTCAAATATATTCACTTTTTAACGCTAATATGATATTTAGAAGGTGAGAATTGTGGGTGTTAGGTGAAGTAAACGCAATAAAGGAAAATAGATCAACGTTATTTTTCCCAAACTGCCAGTGTCAATTTTGTGCCATAGCTAATTACTCGTTGTTTTAGTGACTTTTATGTTTGTCTTGATAAAATTCATGTTCCACTGAATTCTAAAGACTTTAGTAGCAAAGAATAGGTATTGACTGTTTGAAAAACTATTATTAAGGTGATGGGCGATAACGCTGCAAAGGAAAAGTTTCAAACCGGTTAAATAGAGATTTGTTTTTTGTTAATGCTGTCAATAGCATTCACAAAAACAAATTAGATTCCAGTGAAATGAATTTACAAAAAAAATATTTTGAGCTGATAGAAATATATTCATAACCCACTAAATTATATCATGATACAAGAATGTGGTAAGTTTTCTCAAAAGTGGTTACTGGAAGATTAGTCGTGAGATGTTAAAGTGTGCTATTCGTTATCATTTGGAAAAAAAGGTTACACAGCTTTTCATTTTCCGAAACTCATATAATTCTAGGTGAATCAAGAGAGAATATATTGGTAGCACAAAATGAAGTCATTCTATTTCACCGGTTCTCATCAATTACGGAGACTGCACTATCTGTGAAATTGAATGGCGTCATTCTCTAGTTCCAAAGTTTGATCTTTCTTGATTTATGGGAATTTACCAAAGGAACTTTGTGTGAAGTCATACACTTCTCTTTACACATACATCACTCTACACTACATATTTGAACTATGTGCAAAATATGCTATTTTTCTTAACTATTCATCTTGAACATTTTTGATTCAACTCTATCTGGAGATCAAAAGTAGAATTTAGATTCTTTCATTCTTTCTTTAGTGTTTCAAACTTATCACCAAGGTTATTGTTAAGAATAAATGAAAGCTTCGGAGAAATATAAAACCAGATCTTTACAGAGATGTAACCTTGTAAGATTGAAACGTGATATTTTGCCTACTGCTACAATATTACATAGCTCTTGATTCATGATAACTGTTGGAGACAAACCGAGAAAAATGTACACCAGTGTAACTGTTTATATTTCTTTTGGACAGATGCACACCTATCCAATGGGGAACTGTAGTCTTTAGTCTGACTGATACTACTGAATGGTTCATGGTAATTTGGTGTTAAATGTTGGAAGTAAATTTACAAGAAGTTTTATTTACCTAGGCCTACTACTTGTTCGTACCACCGGGGTTCGATCCCAAAGCCTTCTGGTGACAAAGCGAGCTGGCTCGTAGACCATTAGGCCACTGGGACCCGATCCAATGGCCAGCCCATGAAATAGGGCGACCACTTCGCAATGACTTCTTCTATAAGTTACTGCCTCACCTTCAACACGCTGTACCCTACTGGTCACAGCTTCTCTCTAGAACTTCAGGTTAACTGCCTTAATAGGGCCAATCGCTAGTGAGCATCAGATTAATTTTCAAGTATTGGTTTAGTAGGTATTTTGTTTGATTGGTTGGAAGGTTTCATCATGAGCTGACATTATTTAGAGAACCATCGGAAAACCTGGAAGTACTGGACAGGTCATGATGAAACCCTCCAAACAGTCAAACACAATCCCTACAAAACAAATACTTGAAAACTAAGGCTTTCTTAAAGATCTATGTGCACATCACCCACCGATGAAATCAGTAAGTCGGCTGTGAGGATGTATTCAAGTCACCTAGCTTAAATTATTGACATGTCTGAGCTGTTCCACTTAAACCAAATTTGTGGGAATTGTAAGGAAATTGTGATTAATCAAGTGATAACTGGTATTTTAGTTTATTAGATTTTTTCCATTGAGTTTTTTTTTTTAGTTTTAGTAGATAATGTACCACATGATCTTTTAAACAAACTGCTACACTGTATTAGATAAAACAGATTTTTAAGTAACATTTTTTAGAAGAAAAAAATTCTTTTTTACAATTTATATTACTTTTTCCTTTGAACAGATTGTCGCCCGTGGTATTCCTTACATTTTTGCCTTTTTAAGTCAACAAGCTCAATGGAATTCGGATAATATTACTTCTGAAAAATATCACGATTCTTTAAATGACTCATCTACGCCTAAAACAAATACCATAAAGCCGTCAATCACAGAAAAGGTGACATCACGTCCATTCAGTAATCAGAATGTTCAGAAATACGAAAGTGTTGTTGACTGTACTCAGAAATCTTTGGCAGAACATGAGATTACCAGGTGATTTTCATAATTATTTTAAATGTATGCTTTAAGTATTTACATGCATATGTATTATGGAGACGTGGTTTAATGAATTTTGGCACTTTACGTACAACTAATGGGTCCGGATTTTGAATCACGCTGAAGCAACTTAATCCTGGGCAACAAGGTAGTACCGTCAACCCCCCCCCCCCACACACAGCGACTACAACTTATAACCTTGTGTACATGTGAAATCTATGTTGGGTTCCTGGTTTCCTACTAATTAGTTACGTATTACACATTAAAACATTTGCATTATGTAAGAATGATAGCCTTCAGTATTCTTGTTGGTAATCATAGAGATGTTATTGACTCACTGTGAGAATTCATCGATAATGCACCCTTCAGAGAAATTTGGTGGCGAGGGTTTCTTGTATACTTACTGCAACAGTGTTGTTAGAATTTTCCAATAAAATCAGCCAATCCTAGTCGAGATCATTAGTACATGTGACTGTACTGTTAGTAGAAAAAAAGAGTTTACTGACTAATAACTTTATAAATTTCATTGAAACTGCATCATATTACTGAATGCCAGTGAGTTGGTATTTGCTAAAACAGTACATCTCATCAAAATAGAGCTCATTAATTGTAATTAAAATAGGTCTTAAAATGTATAGAAATATATTAGTATAGAGTTAACCTATGAGTAGCTACTTTTTGCGTTGATGTTTACTATTCTAAAATGTATTATTTAAAAAGCTTATGCATGTGAAGAGAAGATACACTGATATAGTACATTCTGCGTAATACCTATATCTGGTTTGTCATTGTCATCTACCCTGGATGTCTTCTACCTTTTAACGATGCTATTTATTTACTAAAGAAGCAACTTATTATATTTCTTATAAGTAGTATATACTTGAAGAAGGTGAAAACGTGTATATCCACCTTTAATATTTACTTTTATTGATCAGATTTATGCAAATGATTATTGTTACTAATACAACTATTGATATTTATTTGTTTGTTGATAGTTATTGTACTGTGTACAGGTGTATATGCTTTATCTTCACTAATAATTGTGTGCATACATGGTGCATTTCTGTCTCTTTTGTCTAATTATATGTCCATTCAGTTGTGTTTCTATGCTTTAGTGAATGTGTGCAGACGTGCGTACGTTTATGTATGTGTATACGTTGGCGCCCGTAAATGTTTGTTTTAAGTGTCTATATTTTCTTTGCGAATTGAGTAGTTTTTAGCCATAGAGTAAATTTATCCAGGAGACTCACTTCGTGATTATTTATTGTTTTTATTTACTTACTGGCTTACTGAGTTATTTTTTTTCCACATATTTTTCATATGAAATTGTTTTCCCATATCAAATTTAATGAATTAGGGAGTAAGTGTTTAATTTGTATTGAATAACTCTTAACGTCACTTATACAGTGAATTAATATCCAGTTCACTTTATTTAAAAAATAATAATAACTGTGTTTGTGTTAGTTGATGGATGATTAGAGAAATTAACTTGCAAGTTAGAAGTTAGAAGTCTGAAAACATTTGAACTGTGTAAAAGGTAAAAGAAAGACTTGTAAAACTGAGTGAAACGATGGTTTAGACGTTATACATACTAGTCAGTTGTTTTACAATTCTATCATATGGTTATTGCTTCCTTTAATTCCTAGAGGAACATAGGGCTTCAGCCGCACGTCTCCATTGATTTCGATTCTCCGCCAACGTTCTCACCTGACTCCACATCTGCCGACATGCTTCCATCTCCTCTTCACATGACCTCCTCCATGTCACCCTCTCACTGACGATTGACTCGCCACTTCCCATTTAGGTCCCACTCTAGCGATGGCCTTGAGTATGCTGTGACTTGATAGTTTTCTCAGAGTATGGCCAATCCAATCTATCTCCATTTCTCCCTGCATATTTGTTGCACAATTGGTTCCTGCTGAGTTGGTTCGCTCTCAGAGATCCCTCCCTGTTGCTGATCTTTCTTGACTGGCCGTCTTATCTTGAGTATTGAGTGAAGACAGCTGTTGATGAAGGTGTGCAGTTTGTTTGAAGTTCCTTTTGTGACACGGCGCCAAGTCCTTGATCCGTATAGCAAGCAGCACTGACTTCACATTGGAGTTGAAAATCCGGATCTTATTTTTCATGCTGAGTGTTGTAGACCTTCTCACAGACTTTAGAGTAATGAAAGCTTGTCTTACTTTCTCGATTCTCGCTTCGATATCCTAGTCAGTTCCGTCCGCCTGTAGCTTAAACGATGCTTCCCAGGTGCGTAGGTAGGTAAAGTAGGTTGCTTCTCTCAGATTTCTCAAATTTATGCTGGTTGTTGTCTGTTGTTGTTGTTACTGATGCTGTTTGCCAGTATTCTTCATTACTTCTGTTTCCTCTATGTTCACCTGAAGTCCTATCTTTCTTTGATGTTTCCTCTGCCAACCTGTTGCTTTTCACTTGCGTATCTTCCAGTCTGTGGGAAATCAAACATATATCATCGGTGAAGTCCAGATCCTCCAAGTTCTTTGTGTGGGTCCATTTTAAGGCTATTTCCTCGTTGCCCGTTGTCTGTCGCATTATCCAGTCTATCACAACCATGAAAATCATTGGCAATAGTAGTCAGCCTTGTCTTACTCCCGTCTTCACTTCAAAGGATTCCGTGAGTTTCCCATTGTGGATTACTTGGTATGCAGCGTTGTTGTACAACTGTTGGATGAGGTGTATAATTGTGGGCGGCAACCCGTAGTAGCGTAGCAGTTGCCAAATCACCTCTCAACCGACGCTGTCAAAGGCCTTTTCAAAGTCGATGAAGTTGAGAGAGAGAGGTGACTGTCATTCCAAGCTTTGTTCAATGATGATCCGTAGTGTTACAAGTCTATACACGAATTATTATTGAATTTCTTGAACAAATCTCTTGTTATTGTTGGATGTTTCATAGCCTGGCTGTCTTGATAAAGATGGCAAGGCTTCAACTAACTTTAATCTTTCTTGACTGTATTAAAATGACTGTGATTGTGTTGAGTTGTTGATTGTTTAATGTAATTAACCTTTTTCTCCATTGGAGGCTGACGCGTACATAGCTTGCATATCTTTTGAAGTGATAAATCTTCAGGAAATAAATTAAATGATAAATTTTTAGAATTATTATCTTGAGCTGTTTAGTTTTCTCAATGAAACGAAGATTGTTAGGATAATACTAGTTAAAGAATACTGGTGAGAGTTGACACCCTCTTCATTCTTGCATCCATCAGCATAAGCTGACTGTCACAGGACACCGATACGAATTAAATTGGAAGAAAAATGTGCAAATCTTAAACTTGGGAAATACCGACAATATCAGGAAATTCCTGGGAGCCTAGTCCTTAGACGAGTTTGCAGTCAACAGAGATGCTGATATATGTGATATTCACCAACAAATGAAACATAAGTCTCATGGATTGAAGGTGAAATATCAGACTAGTCATCATCAATACAAGTCCTTAAGAGGATAAGAAAAAGACCTTGGAGACAACCATTAACGTTCAATGCTCTCAAAAGAGACTGTTATTATACTCATAGTGGGCCCTAAAAGCTCACTTCATATTGAAGATAACGCTTAAGATATTGTCTAAAATGAAAATGAATGCTTCGTGATGAAATTGTCTAGCTCAAAGAACACAACCACACCATAAAGGATTTATTAGCTTTCGTCAACAAAATTTATCTCCATCTTTGAATTAACTGATTCTCCCACTAAAGTACAAACTCACATTATGCTGTACTACAGTTAGAGTTATATGAATCAAATAGCTCAGTGTTTTTCTGAAATACGATATGTTTTAAGGTTATTCATGGAAATTTATACGATTTCTCATGAAATGAAACATTTCTGTATTTTAACGGACGTCAAGACAAAGAATTTTTGGAACAGTGATGTTAAAACGCTTTTTGGCGATTACATAACAAACCTTACCAGTGTAATCTGAATATTACTTCTGTTAAAGGGATAGTGATATCCTGATAGTGACTATTTTCCAGCCACGAATTATGAAACGCTAAGTAAAGACTTGATTGGATTAGTATGTAAATTTGTTTTTAGGGAATTGGTTTCAGTCATCTGTAGTTTACACTTGAATCTATGCAGCTTATTATTTTTTCTCCTTTTTCCTGGGATAATCTAATAAAGCCGTCCGCCAACCCCTTCTACAACACGAGAGTTCACTTACACTTCAACAAATATTGTCAAGGCAGAACAGCTGAAGAATAAAGGCAACAATATGTGTTCAAATGATTGTGTCACTGTTGAAGAGTCTCCTGTGCAAACTAAAAATCGCAATAAATCTTTATCATCTTATAGAAATGAAAAATCAAAATCGGTTTCTTCAATTAGTTCTTTGTCAACAGACGAAGAACCATTAACAATGAACTTGTATTATTCTGCGGATGAGGTATGTCTTAAAGATTATTTCATCGCTGTTTTATTGTATTTGTTTAAATTTTTAAAGTCTGTTTCAAAACACAACATTCCACACATTTGCTTTGTTGTAATTCGATTGATGGAAGCTAGAATTCTTGGGTCATTGGATTTTAACTCATTGGATCAATGGTTAAATACTTGCTCTGTAGCCTGAAACCCATAGGTTTTGTCTAGAATGTGCTGTTAGTTGTGTACTGTTTAAGAGTTCCAAATAAAAACTTGAAAGCTGTCAGCAATCTTTGTTTTTCGATTATTTTTGGGGGAATATCGATTTGTGACAAAATTCTACCTGAAAAACCATAGATATTTTTGCTTAAGACACAATAGCAATATCATAAAACAATTCAAAATGCCCAGAGCTTAATTTTCGAATAACTGTTAAGAAATGCTGTCTTGAATGACATCGTAATGAGCGACTAACTCAAACAGTAAGGTTGGTTGTGGGTATGCTGATCGAATATCCTTCCTTCGTAGGATTTTAGAAAATCAGTACACCTGAACATTTCCAAATTTGGCGGTATTTGTCGATTTGAACGTGACTTTTGACTTGATCACTTTGGAATTCTTTCCGTGAGCTGTTTTATTGAAAGAGAAAATGGGTAAATAGAGCCTCCTTAATAAACGGTCTTTGCATTGGTTGCGTCAGAACCTATGCTGAGTTGTTTCCAGAGGTGTCTAAATCCAACAATGTCAGTCAAGAACGTTTACTTTTTCCATTTTTATTTAATAGTGAAATAAATAAACGTTAGTAACACTTATAATAATAGTCATAATAATGTAATAAACACCTACCTAACCTCATATGGTCCAACTTCTTTGCATAAGATCCTATAACTGACAAGAAGTAGATATGCCATTCTAGACGAAGGTAAAAATAAGATGAGATAGCTTCTTGACACTTTAGGCTACCTCTGACCATCAGTTCAAAGTACTTGATATGTCTTCCCAACCAGCTGTCGTTAATTCAAGGACTTTCTGCTGAGAAATTTTGTTGATCGATATCATTTGCTTAGGAAGTCATACAAATTTAAGTGGGGGAAATCTCGCTTCAGATACCAAAGACTCAATTTGATTTCTTAAAATTGTGTCACCTATAATGTAGGCGAGGTAACTGATTGCCCAACCAAGATCTAGTTAACTGTGCCTCGATGTGTCATTTTCTGCCGTTTGGCTGTAAAAAATAAACACTAAAAGTTGTGCGTTGGTGGCACTGCGCTAGAGTGCTCGCCGACCACTCAGATGGTTCGGGGTTCGATCCCCAGCCGACGCACTCCTTTACCTCAATCAGCCAGTAGTAAGACTGGTGAAGAGGCAAGGTTGGGCATGAGGCTAGCAACCCCATCCTGTAAAAATAATAACAACTGCTACAGGAACTTCAAACCTCTACCTTGAAGCCCTGTGTTCCACTGGGAAAGTAGAGGAATAAAAACAGTTGATCATCAAAGCTTTCAAGTATTCAATCATTTTAAGTGAGTCGGTTAAGTTATAAACGTCCACTGCTTGAAGTATTTGAGACTTTTGTTATGTATGCCACATGTCACTGTTTACCACAACATTTTATGTTAAAGCAAAGAAGATAAGTTTAAAAAAGTTAAGGCTGGTCAGACCAATACTTGGTATCTATGCATGACTATGGGTTTGTGTAGTATAGTTTATAGTCTGAAATCCATCAGTGGAAACAAGTGTTATAGACTGTGTAACATGGCTTAGGATTTCCCACCGCTGCACATTTGCATTCATATCTTGGTTTCAATTTATTCATTTTGTTTTGTCTATTCTCCTTTGTCTAATCGCACTCTTTGCGATTCTTTTTATTATCTTCCAATTTGCGTGAAAACTTGGATCACTGCTCAGAAGTACTTAGTCGTGTTTTGTTAATATCAATCTTTTGAAAGTAAATGGACATAGAGAAGCTCCAACTACTAGTTCCTCGCTTTTTTAAAATTACTATTATTCCTTTGCTTTCCCAGTGGAATGTAGGGTATCAAGTTAGAGCTTTGAAGTTTACTAAGAGTGGTAGGATTAACAGGATGATGTTGCTAACATCACGCCCAACCATTCCTCTTCACCGGGCTTACTACCGGCTAAGTGAGGTTAAGGAGTGTGTCTGCCGATGATCGAACCCCAGACCACTTGCTTGGTTGGCCAGTGTCTTACCACTGAACCACCAAAGCAGATAACTCCTACTAGATACTCATAATTCAAACTGGAAATGATTACTGGAAGCGTAACTGTCAATAAAGCTAACTCATATTAGGTTCCTTTGATATTAAGCTTAAAAAACAACAGTGAACTGTTCGTGATCCCATAAGCTCATTTATGTCTTACAATTGTTCACTATCTACAATGTACTTTGAAATTTCCAGTTATTGAGTAAATAAATGATACACTCTGATTGTACTAAGAAAAGTCAACAAGTTCAGAATGCGGAAAATACTAGTACAGTTGAAAAAAGCAGTTAACTCACTGAAATCTGGATAAAGTAAATAATAAACTAAAATGATATATTCCAGATTTTTGACAAAGATAAGTAGACGATAATGAGTGTCATAATATTAGCATTTATGGTTAAGAGATTATCTAGAAAATTAAATGTTTTTTTCATTCTTTTGTGTTCTAAGCGAAACATAGGCGTTCAGGTTTCTGAAGTTCCCGTAGTAGTAGTAGTAGTAGTAGTAGTAGTAGTAGTTAGCTTCACACTCAACATCCCTCCTTTTTACGGACTCACTGCCACCTTGTAAACTTGACGACGATTAGGAGTGAGACAACCGGAAATCGAATTCGGACCTGTAGCGTGGCTAGTGAGGATTCTACCAGTAAACCACTGACACACTTAAAGACGAAGTTGTGTGAGAGCTAGTGAAACTACCCGGCTGTCCGAACCTTGGTAGATTGAGTGAGGTTGGTGAATCCATGAACACCGGTTGAAAGTGCGGCGGCCAAATCAATGAACCACAGTTCTACAGACAACCAAAATGCAGTCAACATTTTATAGGGCAGATTTGTTACAGTGATTTGATTGGATGGAGGATTTCATCGTGAGCTGACGTCAGTTAGAGAGCCACTGGATGACCTGCAGGGAACACTGGAAAGCTGTTTCGTCCTAGTCTGGGATTCTTCGTCAGTACGCACCCACCATCGGGGTTCGAACTCAGGACCTTCTGGTTACAAGGCGAGCTAGCTCGTAGACCATTAGGCCACTGGGACCCGATCCGATGGACAGCCCATGAAGTTTAACTTCTCCCAATTCATGACATGGCGCGACCACATCGCAATGACTTCTTCTATAAGTTACTGCCTCACCTTCAACACGCTGTACCCTACTGGTCACGGCTTCTCACTAGAGCCTTAGGTTAACTGCCTGAATAGGGCCAATCGCTAGTGAGCATCAGATTAATTTTCAAGTATTGGTTCAGTAGGGATTGTGTTTGATTAGTTGGAGGGTTTCATCATGAGCAGACATCATTGGAAAACCTGGGAGTACTTGACATCTGCTTCGTCCTAGTTTGGGACTCTTTATCAGTGGTTTGAAGTATAAGTCAAATGTTGCTGAGTGACTCCATATTGATGTTTTCAGCAGTGATGATAATGCCTAAATGAAGAAAAATGTCCTGGTTGTGGCCGAAATGCCTACTCTACTATGTCACTAAAACCTCTGCATTTTTAATGCAGTGTGTGTTATGAAACCGATGCTAGTGAGTCATATTTTCACAGTAAGTGAACCTGACGCCTTTCGTATATTTTTATTTCGTTGATTTCATTGACACTAAATTTCATCCTGAATTCAACTCTGCGCTTTATCTCAAATATAATTTTCTTTCAATATTCTTAACAAGCCTTGTACATATTCTCATTTGATTTCGTTCCAGTCGGTCACATTGTTAAATATGCAATGCTGGGATAGTGTGAATAAATACTTCCTATATATATATATATATGTATATATGTATATATACTAGTCTATTTTCAGAGAAATGTTGTTTTACTACCACTTTGATGCTTTCATTGTTACTTTTACATGGTAACCACTTGTCCTCATACATTTTGTCATTAATTATTATAGTCATTTCCTACTTTGCTACTTTTAGTGCTACTGTTTTATTGTAATGATTGGAAACAAATATTAGAGTAAAATTTGGTCACTGTGGTAGACTGTAATTACATCTTAGATACGTTTATTTGCTTTAACACACAGTGATGCTGTGTCAATAACTGGATTACTATATTATATCAAATAGACTTATCTAATATTGAAAACAAACTAGAAGATAATCTCTATAGCTCGACTGCTGTATAACTGTTACGTGTCCTTCTTTTTGATTATCTTTTTCAAAAGAATGGTTACTGAACAAAGAATATTATTTTCGATAACTTCATCATCACGCTCTACAGTTACATTTACAGAATAGTGAGTGAATTAATGTTATTAACAACATTAATGTTGTTCAAATAACATCGAATCAATAATAATATCAACAGATTACAGTTCGATAGCATCAACATAACAATAAACTGAATTTCAGAAAAATTAGGAATGACAATAATACAAATTCATGAATTTATAGTCTCTACTGAAGACCAGGACAGTAGTAGTGGCTGGACTTACTTCTTTTGCACACAAAGCACTGGTTGTTTCACGCGAGTCGCGACAGCCTCTGTTGTTTGGAGTACGCGGTACCTGGATGTTTTTGGCAATTTATTCGGTAACCGGTAGATGATAGAGAAGGATTCTTCAATGCTGGCTTTGTGGCCGGTTTGGACTAGGTGGTCTAATATCGAACTGTCGGTGGTTTTTACTACACCTTTACTTATCCATACTGGGAGATGTTCTCGAGCACCAAAAATCCAATTCCTAGAGCAACGGTCAATATAACTCGCTCCACAGAGCAGTTGAATTAGTAGATACAATTAGAAGTGGTTAGTCTAGGTACTTCATCTTCCACCTCAGGAACCACCCTCGATCGTATAGAA